GGTAGCAAAAAACGCATTTGTCGGTTGAGCTTTGAATTTTAGAGTCCACATGTTATTGAAAGGCGCAGTAAGACTGCTTTTTAGGTTGTTTAACGACTGCCTCGTGAAGTGGAGGTTGGGTGCCCAAGGCATCCAGGAACTTCTACTATTGGTAGCCAGCTCCTAGATGGAGACCGCTCCCATGGCTAGCAAATTCTGGCACCCCAGCCAAGAGCCCCCACACGGAAGGGAGAAAGGGGGCATAGAGTTAAAAAGTGTTGGACTAGATGAATGATCATGATATATCACAGGCTAGTATATCATTGACAGAAGTAAAATGCATTTATGGCAAGCCTAAATTAGTAAAATATTAAGACATGGAAGATTTACTCACGATCCTAAGACAGTAAACTGGCCCGTGCAGTCGACAGCCATGACTGTTGCCTGAAAGGATAAATATTCACTGGCAAATAAAGCATTGGAATACATGCATGTAAATTGAGCTTACTGAGTCGTAAGCTTCTAACGCCCAGCTACATAAGCTCATGAGGCTCAAGCTTTGCATAGACGTCACACGAAGGCATTGAAGGTCAGCAACAAATTTTTTCAGATTTTTTGCAGCTTTGATTTTTACCTACACACCGTAAAATTAAAAGGCTTTAATCAGATAAGTGGATGATGCAATAAATTGAAAATCGAGGAGAGTTAACTCTGCTCGTCTAGGCATATCAATTAAAAGATAAACAAGTTGTGTCCAAATTTGCTTGAAAGACTGATTGATAAATGATTGATGTGGAGATCACCTCGACGCGCACTACCTTTGTCTATAAAATTATTAAAGGGAATGAAAAGTAATAATTACCACAAAAAGAAACTTACAGCACAGTCTTTGTAAGGCGCAACAACATCTGGGTAAGCCGCCATCTTGGATAGACTCATAGGAATACCCACTGATCGATACTTTGACAACTGCAGGCTCGCTACTGTGATCGGAACTGGATTGGCATTCGGAAGTATACCCGGGAGAACTCGGTAGAACTCTCGGAGTCCGATTACTGTTCGGTTCTTCACAGCGGGGACTCGCTGGGTTCTTCAGTGGGACTTTCGCAGAGAAGCGGGGAAAGTGGAAGAGATTTGCAAAAGAAAAGGCAAAGGGGAAAAACGCTATCATGTTGAAGGTTTGTACTCAGAGATACTAAGTTTTTCAGTTATAAAAAAAATTAAAACATAGAAATAAGGGGAGAATATGGGAGTGGATCAGAGTTCATTGGTCAGGAAGGTCAACTGCACTGCACTCATTTGAACAGTCAGGAATCTAGTTGAGATATGTTCGTCAGGTTGGTCAAGTGGACTGGAGGCTACGTTGAGTGCTTTTAACTTAGAAACACGAAGCTGTATTTTTACACTTACTTGCAGTTACGAAAAACTCGACCACTTCTATTCTAAGTCAACTGTCAAGGAATTTCGTTCCACCGTTCCCCGGCACCGTCCCCTCATCCAATCGGGGAAGGCGGCTGTGACACAGGCTTTCATGACCTATCATTCGTCCAGCTTATATATAAGCTCAAGTATTGTTCTAAAATTTTGTCTATTGTCGCATTGCACACAAAATATAGACTAGGAATAGTCTCTCTTTTCAGAGAAGAACACTACGCTAAAACATACTGAGCGAATGAGCGGCAAGCGGCTGCAAGACGCTCGTTCGCTCAGTTTTCTGCGTTGCATTTTTTCCGCGGATTTTCGGGGAAAAGAGAGACTACTTGCAGTCTACACAAACTACATTGGAACTCCGTTTTTCAACCTATTCGTCGTCGCAGCCACATATGGTCCGAAGAAAACGCTTAGTCGACCAGGGGTGGATCCAGGGCCGAGTAGTTCAAGTGATTTCTAGAAATCACCCAAATGTGTCCAAATTTCTCAGAATGCAGGAAAATTGCATTCTGAGAGCACTAAATTTCAAATTTTTGGGGGGTGAGCATACCTCCAAACCCCCCTAGTTAAGTTGATGCAAATCACTCATGTAAAATCCTGGGCCGGGTTGTTCAAAGCCCGATTAAGCTAACCCAGGATTAGCGAGAATTTTGATTTCAGTTTTGTCACTTTTTGTTGAGGAGTTCTGTTTATATTGTTTGCCCTTCAGTTTTGAGCTGTAGTAATCTCAACCTACACCAAATATAAGAGGTGAAAAACATTTTTAAACAAGAAAATACAATACTTCAGTTAATGTTTAATCCTGGGTTTACGTTAACCGGCTTTCGAACAACTCGGCCCTGGATCCAGCCCTGACCACTATTTAGGCCTTTAGCTGTTTTAGTACTAACGCCAGGACTAATGAATTCCTGTGGCCCAAGCCAAGGGTGGTCGTATTAATTATTAACACAGGCTTAGTAGTTCTACAAGCAGAGGGGGGTTCCAGAAGTGGGGTACATGTAAGCCCTGTCCAGACCCCCTCCTGTAGACTAGTGGTATAACATACAGTTCTACCAGAGAGGTGTGCTATTGATCACATGGGATGGATCACATGCATGGAATTTGAACATGGCCATAGGTGCTGACAGCATCATTAGTTCCACTTCACTGGCTACATTGGCTTTTTCAAGAATCCGAAAAAATTTTTCTTAAGGAGTAACTTTTACCACTGGTCATCATAGTCTAGCCAGAGGCAAACAAGCAGGCTTATAATTATGTTTGCAGGATCACAAAAATAAGACATTGGAACAAATCTCTGTCACAGTTCTACTATCCATGGTCACAGTTCTGTAACATAAAAATAATTATCATTTTAAGAGGAAGAATGCTCTAAAGAAAGTGTCAAGGTTCAAGCTAATTACAAAATTGAAGTGTGTGTGTGTTGTAGTACGTATTGATATTTTCACACACAATCAGGAACCCATGCTTACAATACAATATTATAAGTGATGTTGATGTAAAGTCAGTCAGTGATAGGATTTCCAAACAGAAAATCACTTGGAGACAACCTGCTGAATTATATTATTTGTATGCCACTGCAATCAAAGCTGCTTCAGGGATTTGTTTGGCAACATTCTTTACATTAGTAAACTCATGTTTTGTTAGATATTTCCCTTGAGATAATTGCTTGTCTGAATTCTTTGAATTCCGTGCTTGTCAAATGAATTGGATAATTGGCATGTATTGTGGATAGCTTGTCTGTTGTCTCTGGAGGTGAATTGATAACATGCTGACATTTCAGCCAACTTGTTAGAGGTATTCTCAAAAGTGGGAGTAATGCGTGAAGTGAGAATGGCACTTTGTCACTGATTTTTATTGTACTGCAAATGTGGAAACCAATTCTTAAGTGCTGACATTTTGAGTGCTTTTATTCCCATGCAAATCTGAGCAAGAATTGCTGGAATGTGCCAAATCTAATGATTATTTTCTGTTTGCATGCATTAATCCCAAAAGAATATTTCTGGCTGTCTGTTTGAGTTATATGCTTACAGTCCCAATCAACATCCATTTGTTTTGTTAACCCAATGTTATCGCCATAACATATGCAGCATCAAAAAATTTTTCCTTCGCTGTTTTCCAAATTTCCTTTCACGAATGCTTTTGCCATTTTAAGAATTTCCATCGCATGTGATCAGTTCTTTACTTCTCACAAAAATACTGATGCTTGAATATGTTATGACCCATAAAAGACCCAACACTTTGCAGATAAATGGCTTAACATTCTCTGTCCTGAAGTAAAGCCAATGACTGTTTAGATTAACTATAATCTCATCAGCTGTGTCCAGTCTATCAAAAAAGAGGTTAAACTGGGGTCACAGTCTGCATTTTCTTGTCTGCATGCTCAATTCCTTGAACCGGCTTGAGTAGTGAAGCTGGAAAATCTCTTCTGAGACCTCAAAATGGAACACAACAACCTGAATTGCCAATTTTCAGGTAACACAGTTCAGTACAATTTAGCTGCAGATTCTGTTTGTTTCTGAATTATTTTAATTGTCAGGATAAAGGGTTTGATCAGCATGAAATACAGTGTACCATATTTTCTATAGGGATGCCTCATGGCTTCAGGTTTCTGTGGACAGCAGTCATTATTTTCACATGTACACCACTCCCTTCAGTGTTTTGTGGTTAAAATAATTATTTCCTACCAGACAGTGCACAATAACACCATCACATTGTTCTTGTGTTTATACATTCTGTGGTGACAATGACATATTTACGCCTCGTATATAAAACCTACATGTATAAAATATCTCAAATTTCTTTTGCAATTTTGTAATGCAACTCAATTTTTGCCAGCCTTGCATGAGAAGCTTTGAATTCCTGTGAGTCCAGTGTCACAAATGCTTTGTTTTCAAGTCCAAAGAAGCAGGCAAAAATTCTGATCAGCCTCCACAATTCCTTCACATTAAACTCGACAACTGTGGTGGTCTGAAAGGACATGATGCTGATTAGATACTTTTCATACAAGGTCAACTCTACATGTGGATTTCTAAGGCTACATTCTGCCTGAATTAGCCTATTTACAGTGGAAAAACTTTAAGGGTAGTTTTGCACCCCAGACCTTACCTTAGTCAAGAAATGTAAGGTTTAACTTATCTTAATCTATGGAAATATTAGGAACTGAGAAGGTGACCAGCTTCCAGTTGGTGTGACAGCTCAGTCGTTAGAGCACCAAACCAGTATTGCTCTGAGGTGATGGGTTCAATGTCTGTTCAATCTTTTTTTTTAACAAGCATTCTTATCGCCTTAGCTGTGTACATAAACATGATCTCTCTTGTCTTTAAGACTTTGTCTTGTTGAGGGAGCTTTTTTTCTTCCAGTGAGTGCTCTTGTCAGGAAAAAAATTTGATGCAAAATGTTTGTTTGCCATTTTCATTCTAGAATTTAGGATGATGTGTATATCTTTTGTATATAATTCAATGGTCATTTCCCCCTGTCTGCAGGGTATCATGGACCATAGTTGTTTCATCAAAATAAACATCCAGTCCAATGCTGCTTCCCATTATGCCAAAAATTCCAGAAATTTCAGTCGGAAGTCAAATCAAAAGGTGCGTTTCGGTTTGGTTCGACCGAAATATTCGGGACCACCTCTGGAGGTGGTCCACTTTGACCAGTCAGACCGAAATTTGCTAATCCATTTTGACAAACTGGTTCATTGCCCTACTTCCCTTCAGTAGATTTCACTTATGTAGGGAATTTGGGAAAGGAAGGAAAAATGGTAAGAGACATTCCTCTTGGTTGGCCTGGTTTGATTGGAAAATGTTGTTCCATTTTCCTCAGTTAGTCCCTCTGGTTTTTGACCAGTCGCTCTGGCATAATGGAAAGCACCCCAAGATGATGAAACTTTTATGCAGCTTCCATATAAATTATTCCCTGCAGGTGCATCTCATAGAGGGAATTGGCCACTAGAGAGACCATGTTTTAAATCTCACCTCATGTTCTGGGTTATCCAAAAGGACTGTTTTCTGATGGTGTAGCCTATTGAAATTTCACCGGTCCCCTTGTTGCCCTCTCCCAGGATTTTAAAAGCAACCAGAGGAGTAAGTGGCCAAGAGAAAGCTAAAATGAAGGCTACAAACAAATGGTGTACAATATCTGTACAGTTCCAAAGCATCATGCAGTTATATATACAAGTTATGCGTGCTTTCTCTTGGTACACCATCAAATATCCACAAGTCACTTCTCCTTTCTCAGTATACACACAAGCCTTACGCAAGTGTGTGTACCAAGAAAAAACAAGTGACAAGTGGGACATTGCATGATATACCATGAGAGAGTGTTACATAACGTTTTTACATCATGCCATAGAAAACACAGTGGCCAACACGATGAATGTGACATACTCACAGTACACATTGCGAAGATTGGGTCTAATACTGTGGAATATACAACAGCTTTTTTGTACTCTGATTGGCATATTTTCTATGGCAATATGGTATAAAAGGAAATATCGTAATGCTATAACATGCACTCCTCTTGGCTCCTGGACAACATTAGTCCACCACAGGTTCAATTCGGAGTATGACTTTTGTTATCAGGGTTTAGAAAACAGCCCCAAGAAAATATGCACGCTGATTGGTTAAAAATCGTGTTTCTATAACTCGATAGAAACACAGAACTAGCACGAGCTGTTGAC